AGGATGTACTCGTTGCGGGCTTTCAGTGCCTTCAGCTTAGCGTCCATGTATTTGTTGCTTCTCTGAAAGTGCAATTAAACAGATATTAAGGTTTTACTTCTTACACTGGAAGGGCTTTCTACTTTTCTACATGGTTAACGGATTTGCTAATGCATGAAAGCAGTTTTCAGGGGGGGGGAGGCAATTCTTGGAATCAATCAAATCAAACTTAAAAACAGGGAAAATATGATCACCAAAGCATTTTGAGTTAAGATAAAACAAACAATACATAAAACTGTTCAGCAAGGTATAGACATTTTGATGAAAAAAAATATATAGAGAGATGTAAGACATTCAATAAATATATACAGAGCAACATCTTACCTTCTGAATCTCCTTCTCGATCATACGGAACTTCTTGCTCTTTTCCAGCTTTTCCTTAGGGATGGCCTGTTCCAGCTTGGTCCTCTGGGCTTCGAAGTTCCTCAGCTTGGTCTCAGCATTCTTGAACTCTGTCTGATAAGTGTGGTAGGTCCGCATGGTGGTGTGCAATTCATGCAGTACCTTAAGCAGCTCTTCATGACTCTCGTAACCAATCTCTCGACACTGTATGCAAGAAAAAACAAAAAGATTAATAATAATAATAATAATAATAATAATAATAATAATAATAATAAAAAAAGCAGTTTAAAATAAGGCTGCCTTGAAGTGTAAATGTAACTTGTATATAACCCATTCTCATAAATGAATAAGATATCCATAACTAAAGACACACCCTTTTGTAGATTCTCTGCAAGTCGTCCTGCACTTGTGTAAATCGTGGAATGATGTTGTTGAGGTAGACATCCGCCATGGCCGCCTGGTCCCGCGCATCTTTTCTCGTTTGGTTTACTAGAGAATTCCAACAACTGTACACGCTGAACAACTGCAGCTGTTCACGCCTGAAAATAGAAGAAAATGTTTGCTAAATGACTATTTATGTCCAAAGTTCATAAGAGACTTTATAATAAACATAGAGATGCTGCACCGCTATATTTCATTACTTAATTCTTGGAGTCAAAGTACCAAATGTAAATATCAAGTGGAACATTCACAGCAATACCTAAAAACAATGCAAATTTTGTCTGATATTAAGAAATTTCATAAATACTACACATTCTGTGTGTTATCTTGGAAAGAATAACCTTAAGTATTTCAATAAATGAATTCAAACACTCTTATAAACTGACTCCTACATCACTAATATAGAAATATTCTATCATAAAATCTCAGGAATGTATGCTGAAATCACATGTCAAAATCTATTTTCACACTGCGGAGCTTTACAAAGGCACATTGAATGCAAGCCCATGAACCAACTGTGAAAGGGTTCACTTCATGATCAACCAATGAATATACATACAACAGTTCTCTTACTGTAAATGAGGCCCTATTTGCAGTCCAAACAACATGACTAAAGCAATTTTATCTGAACAGACTTTCTTCTATAAAAAAAAAAAAAAAAAAAAAAAAAAAAATCCATGGACTTCCTTCTGGTATCAGATACAGATGGGGAGCCTTTGTTTCTTCTTCTCTTTTAACATTCTTTAAAGTAAATGCATGAGTGATGCGAGGACTGGCCCCAGATAGCCATAGGAAAAACATCAATACGAATGCACTATGCCATTTACATCCAGACACAATGAAGCAAACTTAGCTACACAAATCTATCTTCAAGAATGTAACTTTTTTTCAGGGTATGACAAGGGTGGATCATATATCCCGTACTATTATGACACCATGGCTGATGATGATGATTGATGGTGAGGATTGTTGATGATTGATATTGATGATGATGATGATGATGATGATGATGATGATTGATGGTGATGATTGTTGATGATGACAACTGATGATAATGGATGATGACTGGTGGTGAAGATGAAAATGATTATGATGATGATGAGGAGGAGGAGGAAGATAATGATAAAGATAATGATGATGATGATGAAAATGCAGATGAAGATGATGATAATGATGATGATGATGATGATGATGATAAAGATGATGATGAAGATAATGATGATGATGATGATCAGGAGGAGTCCTACACCTAACATCAATTCTAACACAAAACCGAAATCCGGGCACTGACTTGATGCGCTGCTCCTTGTGCCTGGCCTGCAGCGACTTGGCGAGCTTGTCGAGCTTGGCGGCGTAGTCCTGGTGCAGCTCTGCCCTCCGCCGGAACCAGTCCTGCAGCTCCGCCACCAGCGCCGTCTGCGTGTCCACGCGCCCGTCCAACGCCCGCAGCTGCTCGTTCAGCTGCGACCGCAACTCTGCCGGAGGAAGGAGAGGTCAGATATGGATGGGGTCATGGAGGGGGGGGGGGAAATATGGTTGGGGTCATCTGAGGGGGGGGGGCGTTAAGTATAATGTGTGTTGAGTCTCTGAGGTTCTGAGTATCGAAGATCGTTAGGTTTGGGGTGAGAAATGGGCAACGTGATTCGTATTGGTCTTGAAGAAGGTGTAGGATGTGGTAAAAGATATAAAACTGGGAACACGTTTTGAAGCTGTTTGTGGCACTACATATATGGCATAAAATTTGAATAGCAATCTGTATTTGCCGCCGATGAATCAAGGGCACTGCATAGAGCCCGATCACAATTCTTCGAAAAACATTTTTTTTTTTTCCAATAGGTTTCAGAAAACATCGCATCCCTGCACAAGTCCAACGAATGTCAGAGGTTTAAAACATTCAACAGACATTACCTCAGCAGACCTACATGAAAGTGTTATCTGCGCCGGAGTGATAGCAGGCGAGAAAACATTCGGTTTCGCGTTACGTCTCCCACTTAACCATAATTTTTCCCCCCACGGCGTCCATTTATAATCGTATTTATTTAGCCTAGTCACCCCATGACAGCGGTGAGATAAATTGGTAGTTAGCGAAGGGAGGAAAAAAACCTTTGGAATGCCATGAGATAATAAGATTTTTTTCTCTCTCTCAGGCTGTGTTGCACGCACTGCCACGCTCTCTGCTACGTGGACTGCAGGTGCGAGGGGGGGGGGGGGGGGGGAGGAAAGGAGAAGACAAAAAGAAGAGGAAGAGGAGAGGCAAGAAGGCGAGGAGAAGAGAAATGAGGAGACAACAAGGAGAGGAGAAAAAAAGAGAAGAGGCAACAAGGAGAAGAGAAAAGAAAAAGACAAGAGGTATGGATTGAAAGTGTGAGGCGATGATAAGTTAGGAGAGGAAATAAGATAAGGGACTGGAGAAAGGAGGAAAAGTGAACACAAGATGGAGAAGACGAGGGGGCAACAGAGGTGAATAGTGGGGGGGGGGGGAGAGAAAGAGAAAAAGATACCCCACTCTACATTTTTGTTCCTACGTATACAGGTAAAACTTAACAATAACAGCGATAGACACACGCGCGCGCGTGTGTGCGCGCACACACACAAAACACACACACACACACACACAAAACACTTTGCAAATACAGAAGCTTTTGCCTCATCCCTGCAACGTGCAACACAACCCCTGCTTGCCATTTTCTCTGCATGCAACCCTTCTGACGATGGGAGGGCGAGGTCAGTCCTACATTAACGCCTGGAGGGTTGCGAAAAATACTCTTGGAAGTCTTATTTCATAATGAAGACTCCTCGCTCTCAATTCTTCGTCTTTGTAGGACTAAAAACAGATTCTTTTTTGTTTTTGTTTATCTCCTTTGTGTATCCACTTGCTTACGTGTGTGTTTGTCTGCGAATCTCTTGCAGTTTTTTCTCTCGCCTATATACCTTGTTTCCAATACGATAAGGGGAGGAAGAGGAAGAGGAAGAGGGGGAGAAAAGGAGGTGAGGAGGAGAAAGGAAGTTGAGGGGGCGAGAGGGTGAGGGAGAGGAAGAGATAGATAAATAGAAAGATAGATAGAAAGATGGAAAAGGGACAAACAGACTGGTTTCGCATGCATATTTTCTCCTGATGCAACAACACTTTTTTTTTTTTTTTTTTACTCGTATTATCTAACTATTAAACATCTATTGCATTATTTGTCTTACTGGCTCTACCCATGCTGCAAAAGGTTAGGGATTTTATTTGAACAAGTGGCGCCCATGGCATCTCAAGGATTCTTCTGTGCCTTCATCTTCCCCTCTGCCCCCCCCCCCTCCCCCATTCCCCTCCCAGGTTACGACAACCGCCACAACTAAATATTTACATAAAGGAGTTGCGTGGACAGTTCTCTGAAGCTATAAAGACTCACTATTTATGCTGGATTTCCTCTCCCCTCTCCTCCCGCTCCCTCCCCCCCCCTCTCTCTCTCTCTCTCTCTCTCTCTCTCTCTCTCTCTCTCTCTCTCTCTCTCTCTCTCTCTCTCTCTCTCTCTCTCTCTCACACACCACTAGAAGACCAAAAAACAACAAACAAGTAAATGCCACCACTACTGCGTGTGGTACCAACGCTTCCGGTACCTCCCCCCCCCCCAAAAAAAAAAAGACGACAGGACAAGACATGCACGACAAGCCTCACCAAAACCAAAAACAACAGCAGAAAAAAAACCAGCCACAGCAAACAACAACAGCAGAGAAAAGGGCTCTCCACCGTCTCCACCGAACTCGATCAACACCAACGCCACCGTCAACAAAATCCCTGACAACACCACCATTCCGATCATCAAAAAAACAGAAGGAAGAACAGGGAGAAGGGAAGGGGATACAAAGAAGGAGGAAGGAAGGAAGGATGGTGAGGGAGAGAAGGAAGGATGGTGAGGGAGAGAAGGAAGGATGGAGGGAGAGAGGGAGAGAGAGGAAAGAGTGAGGTGGGAGGGAGGCAGGGGGGAAGGAGGGAGGGGGGGAGGGAGCGAGAGCGGGAAGGAGGGAGGGAGGGAGGGACGCCTCAGACAGCAGACAGCGTGGCGTGGAGGGAGAAGGCCCAGTGAGGCGACGACGTCAACAGCTGCTGCACGCTGAACGAAAATGCAACTGAACACTGGTCTTCGCCGCCGCCAAGGAGAGGGAAACACGTGCAGGTGTCGAGTGGCTTGAGCGTCGCTTTGTCCTGCACAGGCCACGTTGTGCTCACGCAGCGCCTCTTCGCTTCTTCCCTTCCTCCTTCCTTCCTTCCTTCCTTCTTTCCTCCCCTCCTCCCTTACTTCCTCAAACCCTCTCTCCCTCCCTCCCTCCCTCCCTCCCTCCCTCCCTCCCTCCCGAGAGAGAGAGAGAGAGAGAGAGAGAGAGAGAGAGAGA